AAAATCCTACCGATTTGTTAGTGAACATTGTTGTGTGCCATGCAACGTGCACTTACCAATAGCTTTTCATGGAACTGCAGTTATTCTTATATTTGGAGATTAGTGAGCAACAGGGAGGCAAAATCTCATAGCATTGGACGCTGGCCTAATCAAGCTGCACGTACAGTTTTCCTATTTCGCGGATTGCGCAGAAATGCCGAAAACGCAGAAATGCCGAAAACGGATGAAGAAGTATTAGGGATCGGTTCCACATTGGGAGCGCGGAATTCGCAGAGAAATTTTTTGCGGTTTTTTGAAATCGAAATAATTTCCTTTCTTCTGCGAATTTCGCGGTTCCCATCTTTGCAGGTGAATTCTACATCCCGTTTCAACATGGATTCATAAAGCGAAAATAATATCTCCAATAAATCTAACTCACAAAGTAAAACAAAAGCCGGACTAAAAACCTTTTCGGGATTGGCACGCGTCGACTTCTTTTTCCTGTGGGCTTAGGTGGGACAGCGCACATGGAGGTCTTCAAAAACGATACCATCGATGAAACATGAACCTGAAACACGTACCTAATTGAATAAGCAAAAATGGTAGCGGAAAAAAATTGGAAACAAACGAAAAACGAAGAATCAGAGCAAACCGATTGCAAACAATTCAACGCACACGCGATTATTGATCAAAATGGATGGCAAAGGGGAATGGAAGAGGTGAACAAAACAGGTGAACAAAACAAAACGAAATAATAAGCGAAAAAACCTCAAAACAGTGAAAAACACAAGACAGCCATCAGCTGTTTCGGCGCAATAATTCCGACGAGACACCCTAGCAAACGCAAGCACGGGGTTCAGCGTTCACTCTCGGTGCGTCGTCACATTGGGCATGGGCCTTCGCGGGTTGCCATGGGCCTAAGGGGTGCCAATGGGCCTATTTGCCCAGCTTTTATGGGAAAACCTGCTTCTTTTGACTTTTTTGGGTGGTGCCCAGTGCTCCTGCGTCGCCTGGGAGACCATTTGGGCACATGGGTTTAAGTGCCTTTAAAGATCATTGTAACTACGATAAGACTGGTGTACGGGCTTGATGAAATGCGACTAGGGAAGTTTGAGCCTGCCTTAGCGTGTGGAGACGAGAATTCCACGTTGGATGACGATTTAAAGCGTACGGGTCGGATCTGCAACGGTAACACACAGAAGGATATTGGGGAAGCTTCCGTTGATGGTAAAATGCGAGAATCTTGTCTCTGATGGTGTGGCCACGTATTACGTACTCCGGAGGCAGCAGCGTCTATGAGACTGGGCTCTAGCTTGAGTGTTCGGGCAATGACCTTGGGGAACACCCTAGGCAACGTCAGCTTGACTCGCTGCACTCGCACTAATTGAAGAAGCCGAAGAATAAGGAGAAGAAGAATTCTGTTCAGGCTGCTCTCGAGAAAACAAAAGAGATGTTGATTCACGTCGCTTATCCGGAGTTCATCCTCGACAGCAAGCAATTGGACGATTTCTATAGCAACGTGAGTGACAGCATTCAACAGCAAAATGCCTTAACAGGCTCCTCGCGAAGCACTCACACGTTATAAGAATACTGAGCAACGTTTCTTAACGTAGTTTGGTAGAAGGATAACACGAAGGGTAAAGGGCTCCAATACTGTGACAATTTACTTTTAGTTCTCCGTCGAAGAAACGGATTCGTACAGTCAGGTGGTAGAGAAGATGTTACGGTGGGAATCAGAACGCAACTTCAAGCTCCTCTCTGAACCCGTAGATCGAGCTGAGAATGTCGTGGATGCTACAGATGTCAACGCTTTTTACAAATTCCCTTTCAACGGCTTAGGTATAAATTCAGAGTTTCCAATCCTCAGTTTTGTTCACAATTCAAGCAGGATAGTCTTTAATATTTTCATATTTCAGAGCTACCTGCCGCTTTTCTACAAGCGAACTTCCATCATTCTTTTCCGAGGTAAACATTGACCAGACTGACCCTCTGAAAAAAGCATTACCCGAGTGTGAGAGATTTGCATATGTGTTCCGGAGCGCTATACTAGTAAAAAAATCACGTGCGTCATAAAAACGCTGATTTCCCAGAACTCAACACTCAAGATTCGAAACTCGAAGGAGCTCATGTCCAAAAGGAAATCACATTGCGAAAGTTTGTAGCAGGACATTATACATTCATGAAGGATTCCTCAAGGATAGAAGGATTCATGAAGGATAGCTTAATCAGCTTGTCGGTTTTTATACACGGCTCAAATCATTCATTATGGTACCAATGATGCTGCGGAGGTAGTTTCGTCGAATTCACGTATATTTCCTCAATTTGCTCGTTCCCGAAGGATTTCACAAGGATTCAGATACAAACTCGGAGAAGACCCTCAGTCACTTCGGTCATGGATCAGCGCTCGACCCTGTGAGCAGATAAAACTAGCCTAATATTGCTCTCAAAACGAAGATTTTAACTTTGCTAGTGTGCGCAACTCCTTTGAGTCACGTGTAAAATGGAATAAAGTAGCACACGCACGTATTTTCTGATACTCAGTATATACGAATATCGTAGCATGAGCGTACAACAGCGATTACGCCAGTATGCTTTTCCCGCGATTTTTCGTTTGTGACTACTCTCTACCTCTGAAATGCAATTGGTTGAAGTGAATAACATGTAGAGATTTCTCAGAGCGCTCAACTACGGAGGACTTGGAACTACAATTGGGCACGAGATCACTCACGGATTTGATAACGAAGGTAATGGTAAATTTCCTGCGCTATTTTTGCTTGCGTCATTCGCTGATCCTTTTTCATTGCAATCATTCTAACACGTTTTGATGCCTTATATAATGTCCGAATGATCCTTCGTATCTTCTTTTTTCACTCACCTTCTTAGCCCAACCTATCAATTCTGCGTGGGTATGGTTGAAGAGTGGTTACAAGTGGAGTCAGCGACATTTACATCGATCATAATGCGTATCAAATGACGTACAATTCTGAAACAGCTCTCCTAACACAATTCATATTTCTACAGCCAGGCGCTGAGGTAGTCCAGGAAACCTTCACTATTTTTTGTTCCGAAGGAAAAGCTGACTCTGACTCAGCCAGTTTGCAGTCTAACCCCCCACTTGCAGACGTTTCGAAAAGCTTTTACGAAGTGGGCAAAGCCACTTACGGTAGCAGGGTCTATCGTAGCAACCTGAAATCTTGATGAAGAATGAAAGTCCCGCACAAAAATAGAAGTGGAAGTGGCCGAAAGATGCACAAAAAAAAACTGCAAAGCTAAAGGGCGAACCCTCCTTTACGCTGTGATAGATATACGTCAATACAGACTCGCCTGATGAGAAGAGATGCTGTGAAAGCGCCGACTCTTCAAATGGTATCGACAGAGTCGCTTTTGTGTCGATGTGCCAACGCTTCTTAGTTGTGTATGTATGAGAATAGCGTCAGTGTAAAAAAGCAATAAGAGCAGAAGGTCCAAAATGAAGTCTTGAAAGACGCGCGTTGCTTAAAGTACGATGTTTTCAGGCGAACGGTCTCGTCTGGTGTTATTGGACAATTTCTGGTCCGGGTAAGAGTGTGTCCACCTTAGATTTCAAGTGTAAATTCAAAAATGGCAAATGGAGTTACAGAATGATAAAAAACAATTAAAAATAAATGAATCACCTTGTATCGCCTGTATCACCTGTGCTCCCGTTGATCAAAGAGTTCCTCGAGCGGGCGCCAGTAAAGTCTCGTAACGTTCTCTTGGTGAGCTGCGGAGCTCCGAATTCCGTCTCTCACTTGCGTGTAGAGGGAAATCCCGGACATCGCCTTTTCGATGAGGATGAGCATGCGGTTGGCGCGTTGAATAACGCCAACCGCATGCTCATCCTGCTTTCGTAGAGTCCAAGTCTCTGAGGCGTACGTCAAGGCAGGAAGGACCGCGAATCGAGGTGGGCACGGAGCTTGGTGTTCTTCGTCTTCTTCGCTACTCCCTCGATGTTCTTGAAGGCTCCCCAAGCCGCTCGCTTCCTCCTGCTCAGCTCTGGTGCTAAGTCATTCATCATATTGATTTCACGACCCAGGTACACATAGCTAGAGCATTCAGAGATGGTCGTTCCGTTGAGCGTGAATGGGGCATCAGAAACCAATCCGTTTCTCATGAACATCGTCTTCGTTAGATTCAGCCGTAGACCGATTTTTCCACACGCGCAGTCGAATTCAGCCAGCATTCGTTCCGCTTGCTCGATGTTTGGTGTTATCAAAACGATGTCGTCAGCAAAGCGGAGATGGTGTAGTTGCCGACCGTCGATCTTCACTCCCATGTCTTCCCATTCCAGTTGACGCATGACGTTCTCGAGAGAGGCGCTGAAGAGCTTGGGCGAGATGGTGTCGCCCTGTCGGACCCCTCTCTTCACATCAATGATGATCTCCTTGTAGAATGGTGAGATCTTGGTCGTGAAGTTGCTGTAGAGCTCACGAAGAATTCCTGATGTACTGAGTAGGAATGCCTTGAATGACTGAATGAATGACTTGCCCAAAGCTTCGATGACTGTCTGTCTCAACGGAGTCGAAGGCTCTTCTTCAAGTCGATGAACGTGAGACATAGCGGCATCTTGTACTCTCGCGATACTTCGATGAGCTTCGTTACCGTGTGGATGTGATCGATCGTGCTGAATCCTCTTCGAAACCCTGCTTGCTCGCATGGCTGTCCTTCGTCTAGTGTTCTGCCAATCCTATTCAGGATGACTCGTGTGAAGAGTTTGTAGACTACAGACAGCAGGCAGATTGGGCGATAATTGCCAATGTCGTACAGGTCTCCCTTCTTGTACAGCAACAGTCTTGCTGGTTTTCCACGAGGTGGGTACCTTGCATTCCGACAGGTAGCGCGTGAAGAGTCGAGCCAGAGTTTTGACAAGAACTGGCGGAAGATTCTTCAGATGTTCGGGTCTGATCCTGTCGGGACCGGGTGCCGTACGATTCTTCACCGACGAGATGGCGTGTCGGACTTCGGAAGGGAGAACTGCAGGAACGACATATCCATCCTGCTCCAAGCGGTATGGTGGCAGGTGGACGTGGCTGTCAAAGAGATCCGAGTAGAAGTCGTGGATGACCTTCTCCATTGCCCTTCTGGATGCGGTGATTGTTCCATCCGGACGTCGGAGGGCGGTCATCTTGGTCTTACAGTTGGCGAAGTCGCGGCGGGCGTTGCGTATGCTCTTCCCAGCCTTCCACCAGTACTGCTGCTCTTCTCTCCTTGAGGTCTTCCTTTATCGCTTCTCTGCATAGCTTCGCAAGCTCAGACGTCAGCTGGTAATTGCCTGCGGCTCGTGCGGCTCCACGTTGGCGAATCAGCTCGAGAGTTTCCAGAGATAGACGCTTCTTGGTAATCTTGGAACTCTCTGACTTCTTGGCGCAGTCGTGAAGATGTGCGACAAGCCGTTCGTATTCCTCGTCGATGTTGTCGATGACGGAATCCTCCCAGAGCCCAGCGAGAGAAGTGAAGTGATCCCAGTTGATGACGGTCTTGGGGCTTCGCTTCTTGAACTTTGCGGCTCTCTCTCCTCGCATCGAAAAGCGGAATCTTGTGCGAAGGAGACGGTGATCGGAACTTAGGAACAACAGCGACATCGGTCAGGCAAAACCTTCGATTGAAGATGATGTGGTCGATCTCGTTATGGAATTGTCCACCAGGAGACTCCCATGTCCAGCGTAGAGAGTAGGGCTTCTGGAACTGCGAGTTACCATGGATGGTATGGGTCGACATGATAAACTCAGACAGCCTTTCACCCTGCTCATTCCACTTTATCCCGTGAGTTGAGATGGCGTTGAAATCACCGACGATGACCTTGAAGAAGGTATGATCTTCCTTGTAGAACTTCTCCAATTCCATATAGAACGCTTCGAGCTCATCCTCGTCGTAGCTTGATGTTGGTGCGTAGGCGACGAAGATTGTCAAAGCTGGAGTTGAACCACATCTTCTCAATCGCATTCGGGTCGTCAGATTTCGTACGAATCGATGTTCATGGCCAAGTGCGTGTTGACGAGGACGCCCACACCGCCAACGCCTCTGCTGTCGCATGTTCCGAGGAACAGTTCTTCTCCAGTCTCGTATACGGCGTGTAGCGGGCGATGCCTCCTCGTCTCGGTCAGTCGTCGTACTTGATCTTCCTGGCTTGCAACATCAGATCTTCGATGTGAGCTTCCGATGCAAGCGTCCGTGAAAGTACAGATCGTCATCCTAGTCCTGGGCGACTCAAATCTCCGTTGGCCCTGTGATTCTTGCAGCCTCGCCCGAGCGGTCCCAGCGCCCATAAATGTTACTGTTTTGGCGGAAGAAATTCGACCACGCGTAGCTCGCCAGGCTCTGACGTGGCACCCTCCGCATTGGTACGGTTTGGAACAGTCCATACCGTTCGCCCCACGCCACGTTGAGGCTGTGGATAGTACTTGTGGGGGTAAAATGAAAAATGAAATGAATGAATAAATAAATAAGTAAAGATACATATACCATTTTCACTTTGAAACACCCTTTTTCAAACCAAATTCACCCCTTTTCAAACCAAATTCACCCCTTTTCAAACCAAATTCACCCTCACTTTTCACATCAAATTAACCACACTTATTAGGGCGGGCAACTCATCAACCAGATCACGCCAGACATCACTGCGAGCCCCGCCCCGACGGCCACGCCTACTTGTCAGCGCGGACATAGATTCTCAAATCTTGTTTCATAACTTCTGCTTTTGCTGTTTCCCACAAACACTTTGACTGAAAACGACCGGGCATTGACACATGGCCGACTCCGCCCATTCTTTGAACTGTTTGACAATCTAGGCTTCGCAACCTTGACCACTTGCCTTCCGCGGAATTTTGATATTTTTCGAACATTCTGCATTTCAGGGCTGCTTCAAGAACCCCCCGCTCGCTGTGAGAGGCTCCGCCCACTTCAAAGGTGCCCCGCCCACTTTTCAAAAATGGTGCAAATCGGCAGTATAGAGTCTCGG